CCCGCCCCCTGGCGGCTCGGCGGAGCGTGCGGCGCTGAGGGAGCCGAGCGCCGCAGCGGGGCGGGCTGCGGGGGGGCCCCGCGGGCTCGGAGGGCGGCGAGACCCGGCAGCACGACAGGAGGGACGGGGCGGGACGCTGTTCCGCAGACCAACCAAATATCGTGAATCCCAACAAACCCAGCGCGGAGAATCCCCGCCGGCGGGGGGGGGGGGGGCCCCCATCCCGGTGGCCCCCACGAAGCCAGCCCCAGCAGAGCCTCCCCCCCGGGACGAGGCCTTGCAGCTCGTCATCTCTGGCACCCCCTCCCCTCTCCCGTTTTCTCTGTCACGGTGGGAGAGCTGCTTGGCTCCCTCGGCCCCGCACGGATCGCGGGCTGCCGAACCGCGCCGCCACAGAAGGTGTCCGGCTGGCACGTGTTGAGTCCCCCACCGACAGCCCGGCCGGCTCCAAAACCTCCGACGGCACTGGGCCGCCCTCCCCGCCTGCGACAAAGCAAAGCAGAGGAGAACGATGAAGTACGGAACGTGTCAGCAGATGTGGCGAGCCACCTGTTTTGGTCTCTTTCCGTGCCCACTGGAAAATGCCCAGTGTGCATCACTTGGTTTGGCTTTACATAGTGCTTTGCTTTGGTTTTGTGTTCCCCCCAAGCGTGAAGCACAGCAGAACACTTCCTAATGTCTGCCGTCACGGTTTTCAGCTGGGAAAAGGATCCAGTTGCTATTCTGGAGGGTAGCAAGAGCAGGCTGCAGTGCTGCTGCCCATGCTTTTACCTATTCAAGGCAAGGAGATCTCAGCCTTTCTGGGACCACCCAGCCACCACCTCTGAGAATGCATGCTTGTGGACCGCTGCCTTTTATAGGTGTTTGCACAGTACTTAAAACACACATTAACAGAGAAAAGGGGCTTCAAATGGAAACCTAAGTAGCTGTACAGCTCTGCATACATGTGGTAGCTGAGTCACCGTTTCCTATGCACAGGAGCCTCTCTGGGCACAGACCAAGGAACTGTTCTTTTGAATAGGATCATACTTGTGGTTAGGGCTCATGGCTGCAGCCAGAGCACAAATAATTGAACACCGACTTAAGAGAAAGTAGCAGTCAGTCACCTAATCCCAGCTGTGCTGTTACCCTCGAATCGGCATTTCAGGTATTTGGCTTCCTTGTCTAAACACATAGGAGATGCAGAATGTGTTATATAAGCCTTCTCTGTGTATTTGGATTTAAGAAAAAAAAAATAGGACCAACCCTGTCTTACCTTGAAAACCAGCAGCACTCATCTATCTGTTCTGTCCCCCTATCCAGTTACCCAGCAGGACCATCCCAGGTAAAGACAGCAGCCTCTCTTGGGCAGGCAGGCATAGCGGACAAAGCCATTTGCTGTTATGTCTTCCATAGGCTTGACCAAGGCAATATCATAATCCAGATGGTTTGAGCGGTTTTCATGGAACCGCTCATGCTGGTAGATTTGCTTCACACGGTACACTCTGTGTGGATTCATTGCGGCTGAGGTTGTCCTTTCCTAGGAGGTTTTGCCAGTTGGGTACATCTTCCACCTCACCCCTAAAGGAATTTCAGAGTAAGGAACCCTACACATATTTGCAATGGGCTCTTTCCTCCCACCACTGATGGCAATACACACCGCTCCTCCCGCTGCCCTACCCTTAGCCACACCAGATGTGCCTTTTTACGCAAACTTAAATAGAGGATCAAAAAATGAAATTTAAAATGGCATTAGCCTAAGCAAAGAACAAATTGGTAGTCTGCTAAAATAGGGACAAAAGGTTGGGTAGACGTGATTTTATGGAAAAATAAACAAGATGATCTCCTCACGTTCAAACAGTAGCAAAGATGGAGACTTATATACTGTGTTGCTCCTCAGTGCGGGATAAAACTGTGTATTAATATTGACAACAAGCCTCCCACCAGAGTTCAAAGAGAAGCATTTTGGATGCATAAAATGGATCTACGTACACATCAAGAACAGTTAATCCAGATAAATGCATGCAACTTTTCCCTTGGGAAGTGTTTGACACCACATAATGTGCTCCTTATACCCAAAATTCAATACTATTACTTGCCGAATGGGAATCACGCATGTAGTCCTGCAGCGTAAAGCTCATCCTTCCCGACAGGCCACCACTTAGCTTTGCCTTGATTCGGCAACAGTGCTTAATGACCCTCTTTGTACACTCAAAGACGTTCCTCCTTGCTCAGCTGCAGCATGAGAATAAATGGCAGGGTGGGATTCATCCCTCCACAGCCCCTTGAAACAGGAGCCTCGATAGAGAAGTGGAAGTTTTTCCTGCAGTTCTCAGGTATTGTCCTGCCAAACTGTACTACTCTGCACAACCCAGAACACAAAAAACTTGAGGAATGTTCTGTGCTGCAATGATTTTGTAGCAAGTTTTATGGGGTTTATGCACATGTTCTTAAAGAATGTTTCTGGTTCCTGTTTAGACCATTCCTTTTTCAATAACCGCAATAATTTAGTTGAAGAGAATCAGTTGCGGTAACTTCTATGTTTAACGCCCCATAATGTAATTTCCCTGTTCTGCAACTGTTGTGGTTTAACCCCAGCCAGCAACTAAGCACCACGCAGCTGCTCGCTCACTTCCCCCCCACCCAGTGAGATGGGGCAGAGACTTAGGGGGAAAAAAAATAAAACTCGTGGGTTGAGATAGGAACAGTTTAATAAGACACAAAGGAAGAAAATAATAATGATGATGATGATAATAAAATTACAATAATAAAAGAATTAGAATATACAAACCAAGTGATGCACAATGCAATTGCTCACCACTCGCCGACCGATGCCCAGTTAGTTCCCGAGCAGCGATCCACTCCCCTCCAGCCAGCTCCCCCCAGTTTATATACTGGGCATGACATCACATGGTATGGAATACCCCTTTGGCCAGTTTGGGTGAGCTTCCCTGGCTGTGACCCCTCCCAATTTCTTGTGCCTCTCCAGCCTTCTTGCTGGCTGGGCATGAGAACCTGAAAAAAAAATGCTTGACTTAGTATAAACACTGCTTGCAACAACTGAAAACATCAGTGTGTTATCAACATTCTTCGCATACTGAACTCAAAACATAGCACCGTACCAGCTACTAGGAAGACAATTAACTCTATCCCAGCTGAAACCAGGACAGAGTTCATACCCTACGCACAGACCTGTTGGTAAGCACGTACCCAAAGACTGATCTTTGTCAACAGCATCTTTTGTGTGATAGATGCCTAGGCAAGTAGGCTTTCCTAAGGGACCCACATGTTCTCTAAAACAAAACCATGAGTATGGCCATTTTAATCCTCACCCATTTTTTTCTGCTTTTTTCTGTTACTCATTTTTCCCTCCTGAAACCCTCCAAAGCTTCAGCTGGTAAATGCGTCTCAAACAGCAACCACTTCATACACACATATCCTTTTGCAGAACTGGGACATTCTTTGATGGCCAGAAATTAAATGTCTTCCCACCTATCAAGTGGAAAGCACACTCAGTTCAGGTATGATGGATAGGTACTGCAACTCACACATGCTTTACAAACAAGAGGAAATGTCCATGTATGTTTTGTGGGTTACAATGGGCTTGACCACATCCTCAGCGACAGCAGGAATGGCCCAATAGCTATGCAAAAATGCACCAACACAAAGTCAGTTATTTGTCAGCAAGTGTGTTGCTGACTTCATTGGCAACCACTTCCAAGATAGTGATATTCACGTCACCAAAAAATTGTCGTAAAGGCTGTGCATACCTGTATTGAGACTTGCTAAGGCCAGGAGTGTGGCTTTTCTTCAGTGCCTGATATAATTATCCCTGCGGTGTTTGGCTGAAAATACCCTCTGCCACAGTTTGCTGGCCAATCTACAATACACAGAGAAATACATTCAATAAGCAAAGTCACATCCCCACAGTGGTTCATTGATCCTAGACTCGGTGGCTCCTACAGCTTGAAATATTCATGAAGGAGACAAATAATAAACATAAATCCTTAGTCATGTTCCACATACACCACACAGTCATTTTTTTACTAACTGCCTGGCACACTTGGGATGTTAAAAATGCTGTAAATTTAAGAAATGAGAACATGAATGGAAAAGTTTCCTATGCAAGTGTAGAGCTCACTGTTAAAATTTCAGAGACCTATGGTTTCCTGAAGAGCTGGGTTTTGTGGTTAAACCCCCATGCCTCTCGGCCTGGAAGTGACTAGCTTTTGGGACAGGGCAGCCGCTTTGCATTTGGCTGCTTGGAGGATAGCTCAGATGCAGGCTAATGGAGAGCAGTTAGTGTTCAATAACTGGGCATGAAACTAAGTTTGAGTTGGCTTCAAGACATGAAAAACTATTTATTCCCAGGGACTCACTTTGCATTTTAATTAGAAAACATGCAAACAAAACCCACTTGATCCTGCACAGTATATTTCTTTAGATCGTTCATTACCTCCTGCTTTTCATGGCAGGGTTGAGGAGATGACCTTAGACTAGGCGAGGTTATTATTAATCATCTTCAGCAAAAGACAGTTGGCTTCTGCAATGCTGGAAAGGTGGGAAAGTGATATAAGAAAGAGCTGGTGTCTGGCGCAGGGTAGGAACTTCCAAATTTAATATCCCCAAAGGAGAGAAGTATTTTATTTTGTGTAAAGGCATATAATACCCAGATATTCCATTTTTCTAGGAGAAAAATAACAAAAAAAGCTGAAATAAGAACCTAATGAGGAGAAAATGCACAGGGAA